AATGCACCCACAGAAAGCTGGTGATTTTAGTTGTGGCATTTACCCATCCATTTTTTGGCGGCAAAATACTTTGAGCCATTTACTCCGTGTGCTGGATGATTTCTGGCTAGTGCTAGCCCTGGAATTAGTGTACCTCTCAAATAAGGCATCGTTTCTTGGGATATACCCTCCAAATTCATCAACCAGGGTTCTTCCAGTTTTTGTGGGGTAGCTGACTTTCCCTTTGTTTTCTATTCAAGATGCTGTGAACCCAGATGCGCTTGATGACTTGGGGCCAGAGCATGATACTGTATGCGTAAGGTCACACCCGAAACGAGGGCAGCTCAGCGACGAATCCAGTTGACCTCACCACAGCTGATTAGTAGGTCATCTCAAAAAAGGTTTGATTTCAGGCTTGTGCAGAATGTGCATACGACTTGTTCACCATTTTTCGGGTTCAGAGGACAGTGCAGAAATTCGTCCAAAGCACTTGCAAAGCTAGTGCTATTCCGTGGGACTGGGTCGTTGAGCGTCGAAGGGCCTGCCGAACCTTGTGTAAGCAATGTGTGTGCAGCTTTGATTCCAACTTTTGAATATGTGGATACATCCACAGTACGTTGACGGTGTTTTTGTGAACGTGCAGAGCTCTTGTACAGATTTCGGTAGATTTTTTGTCGCCATGTCGTGGCTGGGACTGTCATCTTGCTTCATTCCCACAGGCTGGAGATGGATAGACGGTGTCAGCCAACATCTGAGACGGTACCCCTATTTTAGGAAACCTCCAAACTGGTTTGAAAACTACATAGCGGAATAGCATGGTGTCATGCCGTGTTTGCACAGCTGGTCCTAGTTCTGCACACAATGTTTGTTAAACAATCATTGGAGTGCCGGAAAGTCTGTATTTTGCTTAATTTTGCATCAGTTTCATGATAACGCTCATCTGTGATGTCCAAGAATGTCTTTCAGAAACCGTTTCTTGGCTATTCGTAGATCACAGCTTGATGAGAACACAACTACTACAGTTGATGCTGTGTTGGACGCGGCTTTCAAAGACGGCAGGTGATCAACAACACGAGCTTGTAATCAGGGAGAGTGAGGATGATCAGGACGAGTCGTCTTCGATGCCTGGTGCGCAGTGGTGAAACAGCTAATATGTTCGAATGGGTTTGCCGCTAAACATATTATGGTTTATCCAAAAAATATTAGGATGTAATAGGGATAATTATAATGGGTAGATTCTGGATCTGGAATGATCTGTTTGATCGCGACTTGACCCGCGAAGGAAAACTGGAATGATGGGAATTGGATTGGGGGATCTATCCCCTACAAGGCCGAACTGTTAACGTTGGTGGATTTTTTCTGGTTCATCCAGATCCAAGCAGTGACCGTTAGTTGGTTTGGGCACCTCTTTGGACTCGTAAGAGAATGGTCATTTCGATTTGAAACCATCCATTTCAAGCTGTTGATAGTTCTGACTGTTTTCACCCACAGCCATTTGTATACAATGCGAGTATGGCCCTAGCTGGGATGGTTTCATACTAGGTTTGATCAGCAGGTATATGGCGATAAAGACTGGTCTTAAAGCTTCAGCCATACCGTGGCCATACACAGTTTTTGGTTTTTATCAACCATCCAGGCCCGCTCGAGTCTTGTTTTTCCATCGACATCCAAAAGGTCGAGCTATCTGACTCGATGTTTTCCGATTCCTCAGGAATCTGGAGGTTGAACTGTGTGACAGCACCAGCTTGAGTCCAGCAACTCAGCAATCAACTTAGCGACAGTCCTGGCAATGCCTATGTGCCCCAGGAATCGGTTAAGTAGGGACCATATGAAATAGGCTGTGTGTATACATAATTATATATATAATATTTATAATACAATATATACATATATATATAATATGTATGGATTAACGATAAAACATGGGTCATTTATACGGGTTGTAAAACAACTATATAGTGGGGATGATCATCGAAATTCCATCCCTGTCGCTCGCCACCCCCAGGATTTTGTGTGGGATGATCTGATGATCTGATGATCTGGTGATCTGATGATGATCATTGTTACCATCCAGTAAACTACCATAGCTTTGGAATTCCATCATTTTACTGTTCAGACATGATCTACAATGGGTGCTTTTCCATATCTATGGCCTCCCAGGAATCGAAGCACCTGATTCAGGGCGACAACCTTGACGTCCGGGCGGAGCCGTGCACACCACCCATTTCAAAGAAGGTTCACTTTGACCAGGCGAGGGCCATAAGGGTTACGGCCGCTTTTTTGTCCCCACAGAAAATGAGATTTAAGTAGGATAACCACAGATGCTTGGGGGATTTTGGATGTTTCATGATGAAGCTTATAGAAAGTGATGATTTATCCGTGGGTTGAGTTCGTCCAAGTAGGTGGGGAATGTACCTCCAGATGTTGGCTGTTTGAATGGGGCAAAACTCATCAACCACTGGACTTTTGGGCATACCTTGTTTGGCAAACACGCATGGTTCGAAAGGATGACATGATATGATCAGCTGACGTTTTGCACAACCGTTTATCAAAGGCATCCAGAGTATCCAATGGGTGTCACACAACTTGAGCAAAGAAGTTGATACTTCCCACGCACAGGATCAAATTACCAATGTTCAGAAGTTCTCATTCAACCATTGCAGTTGGCAAGTAATTCATCATATGACGCGCCGGAAAATCATTGCTCTGGGGGTCACAGAAGTCTAGGAAATATAAAGTTAAAGCGCTCTGTTTTTCCCCATTCTTGGTTTTGGTGAATGTGTGCACATCCTGTTTGATGAAGATATGTGCCATTGATGGTTTGTTATTTAAAAGTATATATTTAAAGATATATCAGAGCAGTTGCCACAAGATCAAGAAACCCTGCAGTGGAATAGAGCTGCCCCCTGTTGCCAGCTTATTATCCTAGTCATGAGTGTGGCCTAACCCTTCTTGCCCCATGTATAATCCAGTTTATGACCTATTCTTTATTACAAACTACTTGGATGTTGATCCCGGGCATTATAAGTAGCCAATAACCAAAGAAATCTAAGCCAGCTGGATTAGGGAAAATATACCACCATTATTAACCTGGATTATGATATAGTCTGATAATGTAACAATGTATGATAACTATTTACTAATCGGGTCCTGCCCCAAGAGATGAAGCGGCGCCAGGAACTTTCAGATTCAATCAGTACTCGGGCATCCACGATCGAATCCGATGGGTTCCTTTGCGACGAGGTAACGAGGTAACGAGGTATAGGTCAAAACTGGGCCCAGATGGTGGATCTATTCATAACCCAAACCAATGGGATCGCTGTGGATCGATATTTCCTGGGTGGTGAGGGAGCTACCAAGAGCTACCAAGAGCTTCCCAACCACATAGAATTTTGAAATCATTTTGGTTTGTTTTGTAAAGAAACGGTTGGTTGGCAGAAAGGCGAGATCACGCACTTTCTCCTCAGACACTATAGGGTGAGGTCGCCAAACAAGAGATGTAAACAGCAAATCCAGCAAATCCCATGGAACATAGTCGGAGAATCACAGAATGATGAATTATATGTAATGACACATGATATCCCAATGCATACCCCTACATTTCAGGCTTGTGACTTTGCTGCGCAGCTCTAACTGTCGTGGCGTTCGGAGTTCAGGATCCTCCTAACAAGCTCACCATGAATGGTGAAGCTGAAATGGTCAACTTGATGGAATGAACGGAATGAACACTAGCTTTGGGATTGGATATTGTTGCATCACTAGTGTTGCTTATGACTTCATGGGAATCAAATCAAATTTGGGAAAAATATGATATGAATTGATATGAGACGGTATCATCAGAATAGTGTTTTGGAGGCCATAAGATAGGCCATGAGATAAGCCATGAAATTGACATCGTTTGGATCGTTCTTCGGAGGTTAAAGCCATGTTATACAAACATCATTAAAGAAACATGGTGACATAGTCTGGATGCGTTGTCACATGTTGTAAACATACACTTAGATTTTTTGCCTTTTTGGGATTTTAATGGATTTGATGGATTCAGCATCACATATGTTCACCGTTTATCCAACTAGAAGTTCCTCTTGGGACCTGGGTATTCTGGGTATCCTGGATATCCTGACTTCCCTCGACCTCAGTGGTTAGTCCAACGATTGAATTTTACAAATGGCTTTCTCTGAACATTTAGGGGTACCCCACCTTATTCTATGATTTATCTTATGTTTTTCCTGTGAAGTAGCATTTTTTTTTTTGTGTACTCCATTTCAAGAGACTTCCAAATCATCCAGAATGCGCTCAAAGGTCTCAGCAGAGCCCCTTGGGCCCTCGCGGCTCAAGTGGTTCAAGTGGCTCAACGACACGGCGCACTCTGGGCCCTAGAGGCCAGTCAAAAATTTCAGGGTTAGCCAACCAGTTTCTTCTGTGGTAGAGGGTCACCAGCTCACTGCTCAAATGGACAGCACCAAGAAATGGGAAAGTCGCCATGGAATCGAAGCACCAGAATTCGGATATCTGATCAACAAGGCTTTTCAATGAGATGTTTTACTGGGATATTAATGGGATATTTTACTGACTTTTACTGGGACAAATCACGTGGTTTCCATTTCTGACAGGCTGCGCCGCAGCTAATAACACGCTGCACCAGCCGCTAACACCTGCTGCGGAGGTAATTCAAAGACCTTGCTGAAAGTCGGCGAGTTCCTTCGGAAGTGACCAAGCTGAACAGTGGATGGAGCCACCTCGGCACGAGCTCACCATTTTTGATGGTCAATATTGGTTGGATGATCACCCCACAAAGGGCCTCAAGTATCTTCATATGAATCAGCTTTGAGATTTACCGTATCATGTGATCTGTATCTATGTGTATGTACATATATATACATATATATGTACAAATATATGTACGCATATTTGTGGTCATATGTTTTTGGTGGCGTTGTATATATATATATACATACACATGTGCATACACACATATATATATATATACACAGCAGTATTTGCCCAGGACCAACATGGCATATGTCAGATTTTGAGTTGGCAGCAGCTACAAGCTGCACTCTTCTTTCTTGCGTTCCTGAGCTTGCCATGTTGCATTACCCTCGACGCAATGGAAGATCCTGATTTCTGATAGGAACATCATTTGCAAATAAGTGTTTTTTCCAGATTTCTGGGGGGAGTCCGGTACATCTTTGAGTTGCATTCAATTTTGGTTTGGTCCTTCCTGAGCAGGTCGATCAGTGAATTTCCTCACAACTTGCGTGACACGGACCCTGCAGATTAAAGAGTTCTAAGAAGGAGGCATACCCAAAAATTGCAATTTAAAACTGAAAATGAACATAAACCATGGTATTTTGGAGTACTGTACCCGATTTTCAGACAGTCCTTGCGTAGGTTCCCAAATATTTGTGGTCCGGTCTGTGTGGGGGGTTTCCGTAGCAGTTTTCAGGAAAGCCTGTGCCAACCGGGTTTTCCAAAAATTCACCCATATACCCCAAATCATGGCTGTCGAAATGGCATGGAGCTTTTCCCAGCATGTTTGGATTGGATGTGATTTCCCCCAAACACAGCACCAATTTGACTGCTGCGAGGAATGGATTTCAGGACGTTGACAGCAAGCGCAAAACCTACGGCGGACTTTCATGCGGGGCGGCCCAGGGACGGCCCTGGTGGAATGAAGGGCACTGCGTCAGTCGTTGTCTAAGTGACCTTTGTTTGTGTGGATCAGTCCTTGGATTTATTTGAATTCACTGATTCACTGTGTTGTAATATCGCTTCATCTTGTTGGTGTCAAAATGTTGAGCAGCATTTCTTGTTCGAACCATTCCTGAGATGACAATCCCAATTGTTGATTGTTTTGATGGCTTGAAACCACCAACCGTTCACCAACCAATCTTGTGCAGCATGGTGCAGCTATTGAGGAGCTAGGTAGAGAATTTGGCTGTGTGCCAATACTTTGTTGGTGTCGCTGCAGTAGCAAAGGTTGCCGATTCCTGATACACACGGTTGATCTGTACACCTGGAATTTCTATTGTTAATTGCGTTACATTGACATACTCCCCAATAAACAACAACAAACAGGGCAGAAGACCAATTTCTTAAGGGAATCACCCATATTTTCTGCATGTCTTTGGCCAGGTTAGAATACCGAAGAGTGTCTCAGAGTAGCGGTGGTTGCCGTCCCAAACAATCTCCCCACTGGGTAACATCACTGCCCGAGGCACCTATCCTCTTCATGTGGCAGCCGAGCAAAATGAATCATGTCCGCAGTGCCAGGGCCAGGCTGATGGGATAGGTTCCCTGTTGTGAAAAATCCCAGTGAGTACAAAGCTACAAAGCTCCTTCAAAAGATGGAACATGGTTTTCCATGGTTTTCCTCTAGGAATGATGCTTGCCTCATAAATTTCAGGTTTTCAATTTTGGATCTATGTTGGGGTTTTTATGCCATCCTCCAGGACCTAAAAAACGGGGATACATTGGACGTCAGTGTTTTTCTGGCTTTCAGCGTTTGCTGCGCCGGATGCCAACTGTTACTCTATTTGATAGTCACATGATCGTTGCTGCTGTATCACCATCTATGAACTTTTAGTTTACATTGTACAACCCATCAGTGCTTAATGAGTTCTAAGGTGTCATAGGGCACAATGTATTGAAATGTATTGAAGTGTATTAAAATAATTCAATCTATGTAGATATATATGTATATATATATACATATATGAGTATATATAATTATATATATATATGTATGTATATAGATCACCTTTGATCTTCTGGCTAACATCATAGACCCCGTTAAACTTGTCATTTTTGGCTCGTGGGAACTCACCAGCCCCTGGCAGGGCATCGCTTAGGATACTAAGATGGTTCTGATGCTCCTCCGCCTTGGTGCAAACCCAAACGAGAAGGACGGACGAGGCGCGCTTTTTTAAGGCAGGAAGCCATGGGTTTTTGTTTTACCTAATTCTAATTATAATATATTATATATACACATACACATTTTTATGACTATATGTGTATATATGCATATATATGTTTGTTAAGCATTGTTTTTGGTGCCGGAAGCTACGCTACTGTACGTTCACGTGCACTTGCACACATGCTGGATGCTACGCTACTGTACGTTCACTTGCACTTGCGCGCATGCTGGATGCTACGCTACTGTACGTTCACTTACACTTGCGCCCATGCTGGATGCTATGCTGCTGTACGTTCAATTGCAGTTGCGCACGGCACATGCTGGACAATGCTGGATGCTACGTATTGTACATTCATTTGCAGTTGCGGACAGCAGCATGATCCTGCAGAAGGGACAGTTGAACCCAGCTTTGTATGAAATAGCTGGGCATGGAGATATTCCCACCTTTCGCAGGACATGGAAAAATAGACGCTGCTTTGCGTAATATTGGTCAACTGGCAGCCTATGTATGAAAAAAGGAGCCGCGGCTCTTGCAAAGGCACATTTGGATGATGCTCTTGGAGATCTTTATGTCGATCTAATGACGATGTTGATGATGATGTTTATGGTGATGTTGATGCTTGTTTTTGAGCAGAAAACTATTGTTTGTTTTGTGGTAATCCAATTTTAATAGTAAAACCATCAATATTTTGGTGGGGTACACCATTTCCAACTCATAGTCACAAGGAGCAGCAACCCACCCAGTGACATTGTTTCTGGTTTACTGAACGATTCTAAATTTCATCAACAAAATCATTGATGATGTTTCCTTCATCACGGGTTGTCACTGGAGCGATCATTGATGGTATTCAATTTTGGGGGCTAGTCATGACCCACTCTGAATAGTGAATAGTCAGACGAGTATCATCAGAATCGTGGGATGGCTGAAGTGCATTGGCCGAAAAATGGACGAAAGAAATCAAACCATTCCAACCCGGTTCACCATGAAGTGCAATGCAAGGTGTGAATATGTTGTTCATTTACAGTAGTAAAGTTGAGTAAAGGGAACCACGCCCCACATTTATTTGGGTGAAGTATGGTGAAGTCTTGTTTTCGCACCAAGTCACAAAGTCATGAACATGGTAGTCATGGTAGTGTAGGATTTTGAACGAGCTGGACAATTTTGAAGCGCAAGGCTTCCTCCATAAGCCATAATGTGGAAGAAGTCAAAAAGCGATTCTTTAATAGTCATGGCTCATGGATGATTGATTTAGCTATCATCAATAGTGATTTTCCAGAGCTATGTTATCATACCAGAGGGTATATCATCATTTTCTTCTGCGAAGCTAGTCGGTTTGGTTTCACCTAAATTTGGTCCATGGACGAAAATCCCTGCAGGGCGCACCCCCGACGAGTGTGTAAAGAACAAGTTGACTCATGTCGAGGCGCTGGAGACTTGCACCGAAAATATGCGAGTGGGCAGTGGGTCAGAGATCCTGTACCTCTGGCCGCCTGCCATGATATGTACAGATGTATCCAGATTTGTGTGCGACATGTATATTGTTATATTTATACATGTATGCTGTATGCACAAATGTATGTGACATGTATAATGATGCAGTGGTTGTGTATGTGTGGATATGTGCAAACACTGGATGCTTGCAACTGTATATATATATATACACATAATACATACATATACATAGAGGGAATATACACACAAAGAGATAGAACACACATACACGCACATCCTATTTGTACTACTGGTTCAGTTTAAGCTTGCCCTCCTGATAGCTGGAACCTAAAGATGGAACACCCACTCTTGATGATTTTCCAAGCGAAATCATGGGTTCTTCATATCTACGTTGGTTTACCCCAGTGTATGTGATCTGGACAGAGGTTTGCCGTGAAAAAGTCAACTGGGAGTTTGCTTTCGTAGATGGACATGTCCCAAAATGGGGACACTCCAATCGTTAGCCTCTACTGCAAAGCCCGTTGGGTGGTATGTTCAGGTTTTTTGACCCGTACGCATCTGGATGTTATCGCTGAATATGATCAAAGTCGCTATGAACAAACTATGTATGAAGCGGGATTGGTTCAAAATCATCTCCTGTATCGATTGGAGAGAATCAAAAGACAACCAGCTTTGCGGATCCATTGACAGCTTCAAGCAAGCCATAGCCGCCATAGCCCAACACCCTCACATCGGATGTCCAGGTGCACAGCGTTTTGCAATGCGCCAGATTGGAGAAAAGCCATGTGCTTCCAATGAGGCCGAGGGTCCGGGGAATTGTTTCAGCCCGGAGTAAACACCATCAGAGACTGGGAAGGTGTTGCACCATGTTGCACCTATTGATTGTGAGAAACCCATGGTTTGTGCAACCAGTTCATTGTTAATCCCATTTTCGTTCGGCAAGATTTCTCAAATAAGTTGCCCAGTGTTGATCATGGCTGGTATTCATATGGGGGTTTCCTAAAATGGGTGTACCCCAAGCCACGGGTTTCAATACTAAGCCATAGTCTAATTTTGGATGATTGAGGGTAGCCCTATTTTAGGAAACTGCAGATCCCCCCATATTCTCATCTAAACTCTCAGTGGCTGCTTCCACACAGGACGAGATGTTCTTATTGGGACGCCTTCTTCTCTCAGCTGGAAATGCATCCCTTGGCCCAAAGCTGAAGGTTCCTCCGTGCTGTGGTTGAGTGGTGGTCATGGTCTAAGACATTCAGATTGGCCCCTTGTAAGAGGATATATACAGTAGATTGAAGTATATACATATTTATATACCAAAGAATAGTTCAAACTGCCAAACAACATGAATTAACAAGTTCCTCCTGACCATTGACTTACAGGTCCAACTGGTTTTGTCGCTGACTTGAGACATTACGGGAAGAAAAATCGACAAAGAAATGGCCACCAGCGGGTCTTGTGATAAAGTATCCAGAAGTTAAAGTGAATAAAATTAAGATTAACGTGTTTTTATAAAAGCGAGTCTGGGTCCAAGAGGTTTTTGATTGTGAAGGGTCATGACCGTTTGGAAAGATGGGGTCTTAAACAAAACAGCTGAGTAATGCTGAGTATAGAAGCAATGAAGGTGGACAATATTCCTATTTACCCGCTGGGAATCGCACATTTTCCTGGCTCAGCAGGAGCATCATCCACAACTGGCGGATTCTCCAATGCCATGTCTTGTCTTACATGAGGAAGAATGAAAGAATGGCTCAGGGTCCTAAGCCCCATTCTTATGCCTCTTGGAGCCGTCCCCACAGGGCTGGAAGAATCCCTTTTTGCTTGGGATCCAACCTCCCACCACATTACAAAAGGGGAACAGGGAGCATTCAGCATTTTTTTTTTTCCATCCGGGTTGATTCGCTATCCTCAAAATCATTTTCCGTTCCAAGGAATCCGTGACTCTTGGGGAGTCTGCCCTCGGAATCAAATCCCTTTCCCCAAATCCAAAACTCTCCACAATTTCCGGTGGAATATCTTGTATCTGATCATGAATTGGGGGGGTGATTTAATGGGGAATTCGAGGAAACAGTTGGAAGGGATTAGTCCGACTGTTGACTGTGAGAAAGAGGGATGCCCCATGATACCCCAGGCGATTTTAGTGGGAAAGGAATGATGATAAACCACTGCACTGGTGATTTGGTTTTGGTTCAACCAAAGTTGTGCAGGTGAAAACCTCACACTTCCGATGTGATTTCATTCTATTCTGTTCATTTCTGGGGCTGATTTCACCAGGCTGGACCATCATTTTATGATGATTTTGTTTGATGGGAACGCCACTCACCTGCCACTCGTGAAGCCCGCAGCCAGGTCCTTCTGGCGTGATGCGTGACCGAGGATAGGGAAAATGCATCTTTCACTCGCAGGGAGCTTGACCCTTGACCTTGGTAAATAGGAAGCTGGAGGGTGTATCCCATTTTTCAAGTGTTGCAATGGAGTGTGCAGGGCGGAGAAATTGTTGGAATACCGAAGCCCCTCACCAAGGATTTCCTGCTTCAAGGGATCATTCAAGCGAGAGATGATGAGACATGTGGCGGTTTCCATGGTTGCGCGTCTCGTAGTCACCGAAACAGCGTGAAAGTGCGAGCTGCGGAACCATCCTTCGAGCTTGCAAACTCTCAGAAAGTACCAGGATGGAAAAAAAACATGTGGGCCTTGTTGAAGCAACAAAATGGGGTGAGCATGGGTGAGCTTTGAGGGGGATTGATGGGATGTAATTAAGATCTCAAGCTGTTTTTCTGAAACACTTTCTGGAAGTCTTTTCGCGATTTTGTGCGGGGATGATCATCTGTGGGATTTGCTCATTTGAGCTTTGACAGCTCAGTTGGAGCGTGGATTTTTGAGCGAGCTTTGGGTACACTTGTGATTGGTCAAATGTCAAGTATCTGTCAAGTGTCACCAAATGTCACCGTTCAGAAAGTGTCTGACTAGCTGTGTAGTCTTTCGTTCCCAAGCCCGGCTGCTGAGCTCTCTTTTTTCCTCTGGTGCCACTAGTACCAGACTGAATCTGAGCACCGTCCCAAGGCTCTTTTTCAGGAACCCTCTGGCTTCTGGATATCAGAGCGGGGCAAGAAAGCCTCTTCTAATATCTTCTAATTTGTGAAAGAAGACTCTACCAAGAAGCTTGATCAGCAGACTCTCACCAAGCCATTTGAAGTTAATCAAGCAGATGTCAAACCTGCGATTGAAAATCAGAATCCCGGAATAGAAGAGAAAATCTACAGTTCCTCCTGTTTTTCATGGGTATAACCGTTATAAACTATGGTTTCAGCATGTTTCACCTATATTTTGCAAGGTCGCAACCCTATCAGAGTGGTTCGTGATGCCTCTGAAGCAATGGAGACGTGCTCACAACTTCTTTTGGGTCGTTCGCAGACCCACTTCTTGCATAGGGGGTACGAGACCGTTACCCAAAAAGGGGACGGAACGGGCGCAAGCAGCATCCGCTCTGCGGAAGAGTTGCGGACGAATGCTGGAGACCATTTGGACTATGATAAATCGGACATTAGATTTTTTTTTGCCTTATGGTATGATATTGATTGATATTGTATGATATTATACGTTGCTTGTCGGTTGGTGGTTTCGCATATTCCTCGGTATAGTCTGTGTTGTGGTTGTTTAACTTCTGCCTGGAATGATTACGGGTCACTTGATGAACATTTTTGTGATGGCTCAGCCACCAAGCGGCTCTTGTGCTTCAAGATGCTTCAAGTGTCGGGTGACTTTGCACGACTTTTGCTGCCCAAAGGCCCAAAGCCCACTCTGCTCGATTCCCGCCTAGCCTAAGCCTATGCTCAAGTGCAGCATCCCGAGATATCCCGAGTCTCGCACGCGAGCTCTTGCCCAGCACTGTTCGTTGACAGTCAATTTGGGCCAGGACCCGTGGTGCGGAAATCATGCTAGTGATGAATGATACTAATGGATACTACTGGTAACATGTAATACTAACATATACTAACTATTTATATAATTATATAACTGTTTGCTGGTTGGGAGGGAGCCAAGAAGCTGCGGCTAGCACCGATATTCATATTCCTCATTGAATGCGGAGCCAAGGAGCTACTAAGAGTTTCCCAACATTTCCCAACCACATGATAGCAAAAATGATGGAAAGAGATTCCCTAAATGGATGATTAATCAGACCCCCTGGATCCCTCTGGCAAGCCTGGTAAGATACTTTTTTTTTTTGCAGGGTATCCAGGATTCGCAATGATTTGTTCATGTACATGGGCACCTGAAGCAACATAATCAACGCAGAGGGCCGCGGACTTCCATGTTTCGGGTATTTTCTGTGATCAACCCTCTTGTTTTGTCATGCCCCGCATGTCTTCCTGCCATGTGATCCTGTCAGCAGTAGCTGATTTTGTGGACCCAGTTGGTTGGTGGTTTCAACTACTCGCTTCAACGAGTGATTTCCAAGCTGACTTGGGATGATCCTGCTTGGTATTATTTGGTACCACCTGACCAATAGCCTGTGATTTGACCTTCACCTAGCTTTTGCGTCTGACGTTTGTCCATGATCGCCCAAGACAACCAAGATGAGTCGTGCCGCACTTCCACTCTCTTCCACCGTAGAGGATTATATAGAATGATAATTTCAATCGTTGCAGTTGCAGGTGATATCAATGTCCTTGCATGCATTTGCATGCATTACCTTTTCCTTCTCCTTCGGACCAAGAAGGCGGCTAAATCTTAGCAAGTCTGTCATTGGAGGGGTTGAAACCACCAACCATCCGATTCTTCAGGACACATGCCGTAGAATGCGTCGGATGCTCACATTTGTTTGAAGCGTTGGAGTAGCTGTGACCTTCAGCTTGGGAACTCCAAGGTTTCAACGCGAAATGAGATCAACCAGGTTTCAATGCAGCGAAGCTGGTCCGGCTTCTCGTGGTCGATGGCCTGTGTCAAAAAAAGGGGAAAGAATGGATAGATGGATAGGTACTTAAGTTTGAAAGTCCCATAGTAACTATTAGTACTTCAAGAATAATATGTTGATATATGTTGGAAAGCCTAGCTGTAGGTTGTTACAGTAATAACAGCTTCTGACAGCTTTCTTACTCCGGGCTGAGTTATTTGGAAACGTTACCTCTTGTGGCAACTCGGGCTCCTGTCGCCTGTCTTTTTCACTTCACCCAGTGCAAAGCTAGGAGATGATGTTTCGATTAATTAATTTTGATGACAATATGCCATGAGATTATATTATAGACTATATAATTATAATCTATATATATAGTTATTTGTATTGTACAAAAGAAAAGTATACAGAGAGATATTGATAATATACATTAATATATTATATTATACCCCAGTATCTTGGTTTTCCCTAATTTTCACAAGCATTCCTGTGACACTTTGAGATTCCGACCACGGAAAGCCAGCTGAACAGATGATGACTTGCGGCCACACAAAACCGGCCGCTCATCTGGGCCAGTCGAATTTAAAGTCCCCAAAGTCCCGACCAAGTCGAGGACAATTCAGATCTCTGGGCGAATTCCTGGCTGACCAGATGGTGGAAATCACCTCAAGACGACACAACATGACCTTATATAGTAAATCGTAATAACCATATATAACAATATACAACAATATATAACAATATAAAACAATATATAACAATATAAAGCAATATATATATAACAATATATAACAATATATAACAATATATAACAATATATAACATTATTGAACAATATATAACAAACAACAATATACAACAATATATAACAATATATAACAATATGTAACAATGTAAAACAATATATAACAATATATAACAATATATAACAATATATAAATATATATAAATATATATATGTATATAAATATAACAATATATAACCGTATATAAAAAATATATAACAATATATAACCGTATATAACAATATATAACAATATATAACAATATATAACAATATGTAACAATATAAAACAATATAAAACAGTGCGAATAGAGTGTAGGCTACGGACCGTTGTATATTATCACAATTAGACACTCTAGGATCCGGCACCAAAGGGGCACTTCAAACTGGCCTCTTTGGCTCAAGACCCACTGCAGCACTGGAGTAAAGAACAGCAATGCAGAAGCTGATGCCCGTGTAACGTCATCACCGAAGCAATCACTTCAAACCCAACTACCAGGACATAATCGGACAGACAATCCCCGATTCGCAGGTTATCAGCCGTAGGACTCCTACGGAGCCTACGAGCGGGTAGCCGCGGGCCTTACAGATGACTGAACAGGATAGCAGCGATAATGCATTTTCTTTCTCTGGACATGCCGTTGCACCAGCTGCCGGCACGCAGTCAAATTCTTCACAGAGTATCGACACTGGTGGAAGCGATGCCTCGGAACTGAGAACGAGTCAACCCAGACGATCTCTGGTTGCTCCTAGAGGGAGACAAATTTCGACAATGCAAGCAATTGAAGATAGGGACAGCACACCTGGAAAGAGAAGATCATCTGCACGACAATTGTCGCCTCCGATGACTCCAAGGACTAAGGCAAAGACTACGTCGTCGAATCCGCCTTCACCGATTCAGGACGCTACACCATCAGGGACAGGATCTTATCAGCAAGTGCACGCCCCGTCAAGTGGTAGCGACATCTTCACTGCCTATCAGAGTGAATTAGCTGAGTACAAAACATCACTGGAAAGGGCCACTGAAGAAGAATCCGTACTTCAGGCAAGATTGAGTGAGACGACAGCATATGCCTATCAACAATTTAATTTCCTGGAAAGCACCACTCATCAAGAGATGATGTCGATGACCGAACAACTCCAGATGCTGAACTTCGAGTTACAGGCTGCACAACAAGAAGATGAAGGTGCGACCTGCAGGATCGAAGAGTTGGAAAGGTATCAGACTATGTCGAATGAAACTGCATCTCATTTGGAATTCAAATATTCACGACTACGTTCGGAATTCGATGAACAAATGGGACAAGCGAGCGCAATCATGGTACATGTGGGCGCCGATGCGAATGCTCACATCAATCAACTCAGACTGGAACTGGAAAGCGCAGAGATGAATGCCAAGCAAGAAGCTCTAGCGGTCGGCTACGCTAATGACCAGACATGTGCTTTACAGATCGAGATGCTCGAGGTTGCCAATCAAAACCAGACAATGAAGCACACCATGGCCATGAACGTTAGACGACTGGAAACTGAGCTCGATGCTGCTGACGTGAAGAGGGACGAGATCATGAAGGAGTTCCGTAGTAACATAAGATCTGAACATGACCGTTATGCAGAATGTGAACATCATTTAGCTTTGGAAGAGTCACAACTTCGATTGCAGATGATTCAAAATGAGAACCTACAATCTCGACTAGCAATTTCTGAGAACAAGGTTCCTGAAGAATCTATAGCTGAATCAGGCGGCATGCGGGACATGAGGATAATGGGACTACGTTCTGAACTACACATGAAACAAAGTCTTTTAGATCGAATGCAACAACAACTGACTGAATCGAAGAATCAGTATCATGAACTTTCCTGTCAACAAGCCAGAAGATCTTCACCAAGCAGATCACCGCATGGAGGACCTCTATACGAGATGTTTATGCAAGCCGTGCGAGAACGTGACAGTTTGAAGGAATCCAAGGCTGAAGTTGACAAGTTGTACTTGCAAAACAGAACTGAACT